AGAGGTACTATATCATCATTTTTTCTTAAAGCTGAGTATATTCCATGGTATACATATACCACATTTTATTAATCCACTCATGAATTGATGGCACTTGGTTGTTTCACAGCTTTGAGATTGTGAATCATGCTGCTATAAACATTCGAGTGCAGGTGTCTTTTTCATAAAGTGACTTTTGATCTTTAGGGTAGATGTCCAGTAGTGGAATTGCTGGATCAAATGATAGCACCAGCCCCTTGGAAACAGACACCAACCAAAATCAGGTAACCAAAACGATCACTTTAAAAGATCCATAGCATCATTAGCCATCAGGGAATGAAATTAAAATGACAATGATAGGACTACTCAACATTCAATGGCTAAAATCAAAGAAGCTGACTACAACAAATGCATCAATGGGAGGCAACTGGAACTCTCATATGCTGCTAGTGGCATGTTAAAATGGTAAAATGACTTTGAAAAACCATTTGGCAGTTTCTTAAAAAGTTAAAGGTAACACCTATTATATAATCCAGTTATTTCACTCTTAGGTATTTACCTGCCAAGAGGATTTAAGACATATGTCCACACAAAACTTGTGCATAAAGTTCATAGCAACCTGATTTGCAATGATCAAAAAACATCCTAATGTATATCAGCAAGTTAGTGTATAAGCAAAATGTGGCCTATCCATACAATGGAATACTATCCAATAATATGAGGCATAAACTATTGATAGATGCAACAATATAAATAAATCTCAAAACTATGCTGAGTGAAAGAAGCCAGATTTTTAAAAACAGTGTATAGTCAAATTCTGTTTATAGAAATGTAAACTATAGTGACAAAAAGCAGATTAGTCCTTACCTGTGAATGGGTGTTGGGAGAATGGACTAAATGGCAACACAGGAAACTTTGCAGGAGAATAAAATTGGCATTACTTGATTGACTATATACATTTTCAAAAGTCATCAAATCGAATGCTAAAATGGGTGCATTTTAATGCATGCATTTATACCTAAAATGTTAATGTGGACGGCAGTTTTGTAGAAACAAGATAAATATGAAAGTCTATTCAATGATATGACAGTTCATAATTCAATGCCAAAATATTCATTAGCAACCTCAATTAGAATAGACAAGAATAAGAAGGAACAATTTGGGGTATTATTACCAGGATGGATTACAGGAAAGATTTACTCAGCAAGAAGATACTGTCTATGAGGAAATAGAATAACTGAAGGGGGAAAGCCTAAAGAAAGTTTGTGTGAAGAACTTTGTTTAATGTCTTGGCCACTTGACCCTGCTCCTGTTTTCCTGGAAAAAAACACAAAACATTCCAAATCCAGTCTCCAGGGCAAGATTAACTTACAACTCTGTAAGAAACGAAAACATCCCAGGTACGAAATGCTCTAACATCTCTGTGTTCTGTGTTCTTACACCCATGGGGGCTGACATAAATGTCCAAGAGTGGAAAACCATGTAAGTCAGAGAGTGACTTGAGGGCGATGGTAATAGCTCATATGTAACAGGATAATGGGACAGAATAAGGAATACATTTTAGGTGGTTGAATAAAAGCTATACTCAAGAAAAAAAAATCTTTTTAAAGCCTCATGGAATAGTGAAATAAATTGGATATTCAAACTAGATTCCCTGGTTTCAGTCCTGGATGCTATGTGTCTGTTTCTCTAATCTTCATCACCTTCTATGGTCTGAGTCTCTTTTTTTTTAATGTTTAAAAAATTCTTTATTAATGTGATATATTACATTTTTTTATTTTAGCATATTATGGGGGTACAAGTGTTAAGGTTATGTATATTACCAATGTTCCCCCTCCCCCCTTGAGTCAGAGCTTCAAGTGTGCTTACTCGTTGTGTTTGTATATACCCATCCCCTCCTCCCCCTCCCACCTGCCCGACACCCAATAAATGTTATTCCTATATGTCCACTGAGGTAATGATCCATTTTCTTTTGTCCTTAATGAAATAAGACTCTTATAGAATAGGAGAGATGAATGAAAGAGTATGTGGTGAGCATTGTGGAGGGGAAGGGCATACTTCTAACCCTTGCTAGGGAGAGGCAAAGATATAAAATGTAACCAAAATGTTTGTACTTTCATATTTTCTTGAAATAAAATATTAAAAAAAACTGAAAGAAAAACCAAAAAAGAAGAAAGAAACTGGAAATTAAACAATTAGAAAACACTTGTCATTAATCTTTTTTAGCCCTAGGATGGTTAATAATTCATTCATTTCTCTTGATATTTAGTTTCTTCATTTCATTTCTATTATGTTTTTCCAGATCTGTAATTCATGTTATTAAAACAACATCTTTGTAAATCTTTTGCTCCTATATTCTTCCACTTTAATGCATCTCACATACTACTGATATATTCACTTTTAAGGCAACAAAATTATGCCTGCTGGGTCCCACATAATAAGTTTTATCACATCTTTATTTTTCAACATCCAAAACCAAAAATGGAAAACTAAACTTTAAAAAAAAATCAAAGACATAATTCTTCAACTTATCAACAGTATAGCAGATCTAAAACATTCCAAAGGCAATTACAGAGAAGCCTGTAGCTCAAGGATCATATGACAGCTTAAAAACTTTTCCTATTTAGAGTTAAGATGATGTTTTAATGTTTTGCTTTGAGGAGCTATATACAGATAAATCTCTCTCTCTTTCTCTCTCTCTCTCTCTCTCTCTACAAACACATATACAGTGATAGATAACACATAGCATTAAGAGGTAGCATCATAAAAATTAAGGAGATATAAATACACTTAAAAACAAGATAACTATCAACATAGCCAGAAATGGAATTAAAACTGAAGATGGCAGGCAGGACTGCAGCTAGGTCCTCTGAGTTCAATTCTAAATCTAAAGGCAGAAGAAGCTGTCCGAAATTCATTTTCTATAGTAAAACAGTTATAAAATCACAGTGAGAATCAGGTTCAGCATTTGATACAAGAAAAAATAAAGCTTCCTTCTTCATAAGAAGCAGCTAAACAAAGTGGCCATATTATTTCTAAGGCTATGGCATAAACAAATCTACATATCCACACTAGAAGAAGCAGAGGTGACCTCATGACCAGGACCTGGGCCAACCTACCCACTGGTTCAGTGCCTGGCTCTATAATACTGTTATCATTTGCAGGTGGAGCATGAATCTAGAAATATAGAAGTAACTTCTAACACCAACAGAGAGGAAAGGATGAGCTCAAAGGAAAAGAAGAGAAGGAAAAACAAACTTTGACACAAGATAATCCTGTATGCATCTATATCCCAAAACATGTGATGGAAACTAATGCTAAGAAAGAAAGCCAATAAAATCAACAATGAGGAATTTTACTCCTCTCAAATGGAAATAAAATATCAATCAGAGTTTAGGATTCTCAAATAGCTAAAAATTTTTGCTTAAGTAATAAATTATAAAACAAAAATAGGCAAAAATAAAACAAATTAAATTTGTTCTATAATAAAACAAACTAAAATATTTCAATAAAAAGTCATTAAATCAGGGGCAGATTTAGGAAATGGAAAGCAATTGCTAATTGGTCCAAGAGTTTTTATAGTAATGGCTGCATAAGTCTTTAAATGTGGTAAAAATCATTACATCATACACATTTAAATGGATTTTATGGATTATAAATTATATCTCAGTAAAGCTCTAAAAATAATCATCAAATTAAAAAATTTCAATAAAAAATCAAACTGTAAATCCAACACCAAGAGAATTATCACATTTCAGCAATGCTAACATATACAACTTCTTCATATTTTAACATATCTGAAATAAGGAAGGATCTTATAACCAATGATTATTTGCAATCACTATCACCCAGGCAGCCTCTATGATGAAACTGTCACTGCCTCACATCTCACATGTGTGAACTTGCTCATATCGGTTTATTTCAGTTATATACTTTGTGCCATGCATGCTTCATATAATTGCATTTAAAATATCTTCAAAATATTACACTTGCTGTTACTTTGTTCTTAGAGTAATAATTGTTTTCTTCTTAAAGCAGCTGGGAGTAAATTTGATATTATGAAGAATGAAGCAAATATCATTGTAGGAAGAATAGCCACAATTCAATATTTTCTTGCAAAGTAAAACAAGATCCTTTAAGGATTCTAAAGTAAGGAAAAGGCCCATACATTAGAATTTTCATTTTGACTGCAGACAAAAGTAGGAGAAAACACCAAATCCCAGGAAAAGGCACATTTGCTACAAAGCTAATGAAATTTAAGCTTTAAGGACTCTCATATGAGCAGACCTCTTCTAAGTCCCTGTTCCTAATTTTCTTTTTTCACAAAGAGGGATCCCAATATTATGAAGCTGTCAGCCGTACAAAATCTGAGAACAGTCCTGTCTTCAGGACGATGAAAAAAATATTTCAAAGTACAGTCGGCTCTGTGACAGATTCATGTATCTAGCAGGGCTGCTGTAAAAGTGGCAAGCAATAATATCCCAGAAATGTGTGCTTAACCTCTCGTGTCATGTAATTCAATTGGAGGAAAAATACAAATATAGATTTTGTTATTAAAAAAAATTGATGAAACCCCATTGTCCTTCGACAAGGCTCAAAATCATACCGCCAATGCTAAAGGTGCTAATGAGATCAAGATCATGAGCGTGAATTACAATAAACAGCATATCATTGTGAGTCTATTCATAACTGATGATCAAAAGTTGTTACCATATTTAATTTTGAACTACAAAATAATTCCTAAGAATGAGAAATTTTATCAAAGTTGTTATTGTACATACAGCAAAGACAGAGTGAGAGGGAAAGAGAGAGAGAGAGAGAGAGAAATGATGGCTTAGCTAACAGAGGACTGGCTAACAGTCATCTGTAAGAGATATCAGGAATCTCCAAGTTACCCACAAAGTATGTGAGTTTTTATTATATTTTATAAATCTGTACCTAAGTAATTAAAGAACAGACTGACCAAAGTTGAGTGATTTAGTTGTTTTCCCTGGTGGCATGACTGAGCACTTGCAACTAACCTCATGATGACATCAGAATTTATGTTCATATTGTAGAAGTTGAAGTCAATTTCCTTCCTACTCTGTCTCATAATACAAGTTGACCTCCAAATTCCTGGTTCTGCCCAGATGGATCACATATTTTCAGAACCAGGTGCTCCAAGCCATTTAAGCAGCAGAAGAGATGTGCGGTTCCTTCTCAATGATTTTGAATTGATGAAACGCTGGCGATGCCTGTACCTAGTACAAGTTGTGAAGTATACAATATTATTGCTATTTTTGATGATCTTGTAGTTTCTTCTTGGTGCCAAAATCTCCTCAGTATATTTACCCATTTACTTATTTACTCATGCCACCAGTCTCATCCCCTTGTTCAAAGGTTAACATCTTAGTAATCAACCCTAACTACAGAGTATATTGAAGTTGAAGGATGCTTTAAATTTTCCAAAGGTGTCCATTGGCACTCCCTTTGTCACCCTGGGACTTGAGGTAAGAGGACAGAGGCCACTTAAATTTTCACTTAAGTTAATCAACCATCCCTAGGGGAATTGTTAAACCACCAGTTGCGTCTACAACTGGAGTCTAGAAAATTACTTTTAGTTTAAAATAAGATAACTTATTTTATAACTTTAAGAAGTTTGTTATTTAATCCGTAACTTGTAGTCTCCATACATTCTGATTCAGTCACCATTTTGGAATACAGCATTCAAGATAGCAATAGTATTTCATGTATGGTTTGGACAAATCATTTTTTTTTCAAATTTTTTCCTTGTATGCATCAATTAATCATGTTTTTAAGGGGTTTTAAAAAAATTCAAACAAATGTTTCCAGTAACTTTTTCTGGGGCAGATTATAGGAAATTTTCTTTTTCCTTATTTGAGGTCAGATTTTTTTGTTTGTTTGCCACCAAAAAACAGAACATGACAGCTACATCAAAATAAAGAGGCCAAAAGTTGTGTTCTATCTGTTGACTCATAATACATGCAATCTATCTTTATATCTAATAGAAATCATATTTTATTTTCCATACTAATACGATAGTGAAAAAATGACCAAAGAAGGAAAATCAGAATATATACCTGACCAAATAATGAACACATTAAAAGTAAAATTCATTAAGTTGACTGAGGAGCCATTAAAAAAAGAAAGTCAAAATTCAGACATACTTTATAACTCAAGAACTTAGGGAAAATGAATTTTTCAGACTCTCTTTGCCAAAAATTTCACACAGGAACAAAATTAATACATATTAAATATTTATTGGTGGTTATATTTTTAGCTCAAACCTTTTGATTATGGATTTTCCTGCTTGTAGGATTACTGGAAAATTGTGGGACAGAACTTGAAACCTAAAATAGAGAGAGTCTTAAGTTGAGCAGAGGCCCTGAAGTATCTCAGCTGGCAATGAAATACATTGTGGCCAGCCACAAGTGCTTACCGGATGACATGAGTGTCTGATGGCAGTCCATACTCCGGCCATTGCATGATTTATAGGTTTCTTTTCTCACTGATGAGTACTATAGACAATAAATGTACTTTCCCAAACTTTTCCATGCATAATGAAGAATTTTTTTTCTTTGTTCCTCAAATGTCATCTTTACTCTGAATTGAGGATGTGGGTTTTTTTGCTGCCTTGCTCATCTTATGTTCTTACATTTTGTGATTTTTGTTTTCTTATTTCGTAAAGTTTTTCTCCAAAAAATATTACTTACAGTTGATGGCTACTAAGGGAATTTAGATGCATATACAGTGTTTGGAAGAAGTAAGGAAAAGTAATAACATGTTATCCAATGGACATATTCCCTAACTTCACTGCTACTGGTGCCACAGAAAATTATTACTATAGTAAACATTTATTAAGGATTTTTCTAAAGAAGACTGTGTGCCAGTTCAAGAAGTCTAGAGAGTTCCTCCCTCCCTTCCATCCTTCCTTCCTTCCTTCCTTCCTTCCTTCCTTCCTTCCTTCCTTCCTTCCTTCCTTCCTTCCTTTCTAAAAATAAAAAAATAAATAAAAATTTAAAAAAGAAGACTAGAGAATGTGTGTGTGTGTGTGTGTGTGTGTGTGTGTGTGTGTGTGTGTGTGTGTATGCATCTAGTCTATGAAGCTGAGGACAAAGAAATACCTGGTATCAAAAAGCTTCAATCAGCTGGAACAATGGACAAAAGGTACATCATATTTATGTTTACACTGAAGGTCTTTTATTCTAGTCTTTTAGGAAAGGTATCTGCATCTAATTTCCTGTTCTTTCTTAAAGAAAAATTGATAAATCTCTCTAAGCACTGTTATGTTACATTAAAATTACTGGATATACTAAATGGCATTACACGTGTGAAGAACCAAGAATATGGGTGTTCAGAGAATGCTAGTTTTCCTCCCATTAAGGGACTTGACAGATTTTATAGCACCAAAGTCACATTCTAGGCCCAAGGCAAATTCTTTCTTTCCTAAAAACTTCAACTTTCTTTCCTCTGCATGGTTTTTATAGTGTTTCCTGAATCCATGTTGTCCTTGCAGGTTTATGCCTTTGGGGAACAAGCATGAGGGCAAAAGAAATAGGCAATGGCATGGCAACACTTGGAAAATGAAACCACTGGAAAAGCAGTGACCTGCTTGGCCTGTCAGAGAATGCCAAATGCCATCAAACAGGAAAGCCTAGAAGCAGACTGATTATGTCCCTAAAACCTAGAAAGACTTGGGTAATAAGAACAAGGATTTGAATTTCCCAAGACGAATTTTAGGATCTAAAAGACAATGGATCATTGCTTTCACAATCAATAGTTTGATGTCTTTCAACACCAAAATCAAAACTTGCCTAACCATCCATCAATTTCAAGAGGAAAACACTGACTTTGGGGGCATGCAGATGTTCAAGATCTTGTCCTCCCATGTACTATTTGTCAGGAAGTTACCAGATGATATGTAACATCATACACGGAAATTAGCCAAGGAAGAAGACACGGAATCAGGAGATATAGAGGAATACAGAGAGAGGTAAGAGATATACTAGGTAACGGTGAAGGAAACTGGGAGTGGAGAAAAGTCAAGAAACTATATTACTTTTCATGAAAAGTCTTGTAGAACAATTTTCCTTTTGAAAATTCTGCACATACTTTGACAATAAAAAATATATGTAAGTAAATTAAATTAAAACCTTAAGAGTCTTATGATAGTTCTTACAGATATTCCAGATCTATACAAAGACAGGTGGAATTATTTCTCTTATTGTCCTTTTTCTCACACAGGTTGCTTCCTAAGGAGTCATATGCAGAATCATCTATCTCCTGGCCACTCAAAATGTTGACCCCAGACCAGTAGCATGAACATCACTTGGGAGCTTGTTAGAAATACAGTATGTTAGGACTTCTTTCAGATACTCTGAATTGAAATCTGAATTTTAACAAAATTCCTGTGTGATTTGTGTTCACATTACACTTTGAGAAGCACTGCTCTAGGTCATTATTTTAGCACTCTTGTCTCTAGGGAAGACGTTTAGTCTTCCTACATATATACCTTACTCTGTTTCTGCCTTTCTGTGAATCGCAGAACCAGTGAATATCCCATTAGAGTAGGGTTTCTTAACTTTGTATTTTTGACATTTTGGACCAGATAATTCTTCATTGTTAGGGACTGTCTTGTGCACTGTAAGATGTTTAGCAGCATCCCTGGCCTCTACCAAGAAGAAGCCAATCTCCCTCCCCAGAGGGACAATCAAAAATATCTCCATACATTGCTAAATGTCCTCTTTGGGGTAAAAAGATCAGCCCCAGTTGAGAACCACTGCATTAGAGAATTATTTTGAAAGTAGGGAGTAATGATAGCACAATCCTCAGATGAAAGTATAATCAGAATCAGAGAGGAGTGGGTGGAGAGGCAGAAAGAAATGTAGTCTGAAAAGAAACATGAAAAATTAAAAGATAATTTTATATTAAAAAAATACTTGTGATTCAAAATCTACATTATCGACAGTAAAGCACCTGAACATTTCTTTCAGGATATACAGAAGATTGAACAGTTCCTAATTTAAGTCCATCTCCTCTGGGTCTTGTGGTTCTTTTAGGCATGTTTCAATTTTTGAAATTCCTAGTGACTTAGCAATATTTTATAGTATGTTTCAAATTTTGAAATTATTTTGCAAATAAATAATCTCATAATTAGATATACATACCCTGAAATATGTGATATTACATTTTGGAATTCAGGAAAGGTATTTGGGAATTTGTTTTATGTTTTAATTATAAAAAGAAGAAATTAGATTTGCTGATAGATACAATATGGATCCCCACCCACATCCTCACTCTGTTTATACGTTCAATGGTCACATGTCAGTGACTACAGGGGCAGCATCCTGAGGGAAGAGTGGGTGGCAGCGGTCCCCTCATTTGTTCATGTTGAAATGTGGCACTGTAAATAAGCCTTCATTATATGGAAAGAAAGGCTTTAGCAGATAATCCTGGTATTGCAAGCACAAGGTAATAAAATGCTAAAGTTGACAGGTCTCTGATGCTAGTAGCATTTCTTCAGTAGTCAGGAGGTACAGTTAAAAAATGATAAATATGGGCAAAAATATGAACAAAATGGCATTTTTGAAGACTATTTAAAATATGGCTTTATATAAACTTGTATTAATGACAAACTGCTCTTAAATGTACAGTATGCTAACAATAGTGTTAATTATATGCATGTGTGTATATAATTAAGATGTGTGCACATATAAACACATAATTGCCTTAATTATATATATACATACATATACATAACAATAATATGCATATGTGTTTGTATGTATATATGGAGAGATGTCTTTCAGAGCTATAAGAGTAGCACATAATTTGCTTGATACATGTTTACAGAATGAGATATTAGTTCATGGAATTCTTCAAAGCAACACTGGATTAGTTACCCTGAATGTCTGTTTTTAAGTACTGAGTTTGAAATGGTATTTCCTATTCAGATGGTCTGTCTCTCAATTAGAGGGATTTTAACTTGTAAATTTTCCTCAGAAGAAATCACCATAGGTCATCTGAAAACAGATTGATTTACCTCATCCTGCTTTAGAACAAGAAGTTGTTTAAATAAAACTCAATTCCAATGTTACCAGATCTTGAGGGTCTAAAGCCTGCCATGCAGAAAGTGTAAGGATAGAGTTACTCTTGTCAAAGAGCTAAATAGATGGTTTGTTATTCACA